CGTAACACTTTGGGCGTAATCAGACGTCATGCCAATGTACCAGAACCAAATTCTCCCGGAAAGAAGTTACAGGAAATAAAAAAGTTATGAAGGTACAACCTGTGTGGCAATTCCAGCATGGTCCGTGCCACGCACCCATAATGTATTGTATCCAGACATTCATCTCCAGCGAATAATTGTATCCTGCAGGTGAAATTATTTCGACATAAAGGCAATCCTGGATGAACTTTCAGAATTGAAATATTAAACAACACTAGAAGACCTGAATTGCAGCAGCAACGGCATGGCCAATATGTAGAGCCCCAGAACATTAGGAGGTGGCGAAACCTGCATTCGCAAGGAGAAAAGTATATAGGAGTAATTAAACTGCACAGACAATTCAAATGTCGCGTACAGATAGACTTGCTTCCTCTATTCCTGCCATTCCTCTATTTACCCATATATCATCTCAAGCTTTTCTTTTACCCCATTCAATCCATTGGATACTTCCAATCGAAATGGAATATTCTAATTTCATAAGTATATGAAGTTGTCTTTATCATCACTATAACAAGATCATATCAAACAAATAACATGTCACCATTCAAGGAGAGATCAGCATACACTTGTACCTTCAAGCTCCAGACCAAACATTATTTAAATCACATCTGGCATTGACTTAGTGTGCTTGTTGGGAATAACATAAACAAAAAAGATAATCAACAAACCAGCAACAAAATATTTTCATCTTCTCTAGTTTAACTTTATAGCCACTTTACCATGGTAAGAAGTGGTTTATCATATTATTTTTTGTTGAAGCGAAGAGTTTGTTAAGAGTTCAACCTTTTATGGCTATCTTCTTGATTATGTTTATGTGTTTTTTGTTATTAGATAAATTTTCTATTTTATAAGGTTCTTTATCCTTTCTTAGGATGTAGATAAAATCAAGTTAGGAATTTATGTTTATCTCCAATTCTTGTAGTATGAGTTTATGTTTATCTTTACTTCTTGTAGCCCTATTAAAACCTCTATATACTAGAGGGATTTGATGAATGAAAACATATATGGTATCACAATGATTTAACATTAATTCTAACATGGTATTAGAGCTACGGTTTGGCTCTTTTCCTCCCACCTCTTCAATGGCAAATCGGGCCTTCACTGGTTCAACCAAATCCTCAAACATGGAAAATACTGCACCCTCCTCTTCGACCCCTTCTCAAGTGTATAGTGTCGAAAATCATTCACTTCAAATAACCCAACATAAAATTGATGGATCAAACTAATTTGATTGGTCACAATCTGCTCTTACAGTCATTCAGGGCAAAGGAAAAGTTGGGTATCTTACAGGAAGTATTCCTGCACATGCAGAAAACGACAACTCTTATTCAACATGGGAATCTGTAAACTCCATGGTAATGGCATGGTTGGTTAATTCTATGGAGAAGAAGATTGGACGGAATTACCTCTCTTACAAGACATTTCGGAAACGGTAAAGGAAATGTATTCAGATCTCGAGAATTTTGCTCAGTTGTTCGAATTGAAATCAGCCCTGAAAGACCAGAAACAAGGTACCTCTTCTGTGACAGACTATTTTGTGATTTTGACTGGGCTATGGCAGAAGCTAGACCTGTTAATAGATGTTGAGGACTGTACAAATTGTAGCAAGAAAAAAGGATGAACCTTGAAAAAGAGAGGGTGTTTGATTTTTTATTAGGTATGGAAGTGGCTAGCTCAAAAAGATGGATATCTATTTCGCAGAAAAAGTATATCCTTGACTTATTAAAAGAAACGGGAATGCTTGGACGTAAACCTTCTTATACTCCGTGAGGAATATAAATGGCTAAATTCATTCCCCTCGTCTGATAAACATAAGAGGACTCCGATCAAACTCCCGGCCTAAAATGCCTTTCCAAAATCATAGTTACTGTTATAGCATATACTCGCATGTCATCTCCTACTGCTTAGGATCTTTGTATTAAATACCTGCAAAGCAGAAT